TAAGTATATATATATATATATATATATATATATAGTTTGAACAAATAAACTCGTGCGAAAACATTTCAAATTCGAGGTGCTGCCACCTGGTGCTACTTCATATACAGATTACTTGATAGAAATAAAAAACTATATTGTACCTTTCGAACACTTTCAAGAATACTATTACCAAGACCCATACGACGGTGCAATTAAAGTGGTCGTTGTTATAATCGATAGTTTCTATTTGTTTAAAAAAAATAAACTTAGAACAAGTATTATTTCGAACAATGAAAGGTCTTAAAGGACTGAAGGTTTAATATATTTTCGGGGGAAAAAGGCTAAGATACTGATTTATATAATGTTCTATAGTTTAAAATGAATATTGGTTCTATATACCAAGATAAAGAGCAACTAATAGTAATTTATACTAAAAACTGGTAACTTGTTTACAAAATCAAGTTCTCCTGCAATGGTACTCGAAATCTTGGTCATAAAAAGCTTGAACAAATGTTAAATTTGTTCAACCTCCAGAGTCACGTGCATGTGTGGGAGTGGTGGTGTAGGGGGGGGTTAACAATATACTCACAATACACTTCGTTTTCTAGAGCCCAAACATATTTTAAAACTATTTTTCATTAACTTTCAGAGAACATTAAATATGTTTAATATTAACTTATTTTATGTTATGGGGAAAAAATGAAATAATTAGCTCATTTAAACATACTGAGAAAGTGTTTTTAACGATATGGATTTTTTTTTTTATCTCCGACAGTAATTTTCTCACAAGACTTTTCTGGTGTTTAAGAAGTATACCTAAATAGCTTGTATAACATACCCTATAGAACTCCCGGCATGTCCAGGTGGTTAGGGAGCTCGACTCGCAATATGAGGGTCGCGGGTTCGAATCCCTGTCCCACCAAACATGCTCGCCCTTTCAGCCGTGGGGGCGTTATAAAGTGACGGTCAATCCTACTATTCGTTGGGAAAAGGTAGCCCAAGAGTTGGTAGTGGGTGATGATGACTAGCTGCTTTCCCTATAGTCTTACACTGCTAAATTAGGGACGGCTAGCGCAGACACCTTGCGCGAAATCCATAACAAACAAACTATACAGAACGATGAATTTTAAATTATTTACTAGAAACTTGTTTCTTCATAAATTGTAAACAAAACTTAATATGTTTTAAGAGTGACGACAAGTGATGGAAATCAAATAATAAACATTAGTGTTGTAATAATTCAAATGACTAAACTGAAACGCTACTACATTTTGTGATCACCGTGTATATAGTGAGAGTTGAGTACGTTACATTAAAACTAAATTGGAGCCTCACCACGTCGTTATAGTCCATGTCAAAACGTTCGGCATGATCTATCTGACAACCACACATCTTCACAATAATCTTGCAACGTAGTTTTCATTACAAAAGACTCCGTGGTAAAGTTGTTATATCCAAAGCGCGTCACTCATTCCTGTTTGTTTTCCATAAACCACCTAGTGTACGAGGATGACAGTTTCACAGTGCCCATTTCTATGGTCCGATCGGATAGATATCCATAGGCTCTGCATCCGATGACTTGGCCGATAGACCTTCGTATGGAAAAGCATGAATACCTTATTCATACTCCAACTGCTTGAAGTATGCAACAATTCAGTGGGAGATATGATTGGAAACCTTATCTTGGTGAACCTAAAGCCTGTTGCTCTCGTTTTTGTACAAAGCCAGTATTTCTGTGCTGTACAAAAGATCTAAAATATTGGACTTGTAGTAAGCAGACCTCACCTTTACCTTTGTATCCACTCCCCTGGTCCAAAACTTACCACTGGTACAATTTTCAGTGATTATCATTAATTCCTTCGAAAGAGGGTACCCATTTTGGAAACTTTTTCATCCATTCACAGGTACAAAATGACACGAAATATGTTAAAGTTATCAAAGAACATGTACATTTCATTGAGTTTCATCAGGTATACACAAGTTGCTTCCACGAAATATCCAGGAAAGAAAGACCAGCTCTAGAAAACTGCAGGTACAGAATCCAGCTTACTACGGCTATGGTTCAACTTGTTACAAGTCTCTTTCTGTATGATCCTGGTGCTCCAAGTGGATTCGCATTCCTTTGTTTTCACAATGTCATTAATTACAAGGGACATGGTACCCTCGTCCTCGAAATTTTAAATCCCCGATCTGTACATATCATTACGATGTGTGTATGAATATTTTGCGTCGGAAATGGCTCTTTGTTACATAACCTTCCTAAAAGCGATCAATTTTTAGTTGTATCACACAATCCGAGATCGCCAAATACAGTCAAAATCTAGTTCTGATACATTCTGTTGTACTGAGAGATTTCAGTGGTTGTAGTTATCACGATACTTGCCGATTTGTGTATTCAAAATCGCTTTAATACAACATATTCAACTCTACGTAGAAGTAGAAAGAATTAAAACCCGATATTCCAAAGATTTTTAACAACACTTAATCAATACTGGCGTATTCACATATATCATCAGTTAATATGGAAATGACGCATTCTGACTTAAAGGAAATATATTATCGTGAATTTCGAAATTGATTTAATAAATGATAAACGTTTTCTGTTTCTGCTTTATTGTTAGTTGGTTGTTTCGGATATTTGAGCAAAATTTCACAAAGATTATCTATACTAGCCCTCTCTAATTTTGAAATGAAAGACTAGAGGGTAGGCACCTCGTCAACATTAACCACAGTTAACTCTTGGGCTACTCTAATCGAATTGTGGGACTTGACCGTTTCTTTTATTACGCACCCATGCCTCAAAGTGGGGAGTATCATATTGTTTTTCATGGTAAGGGGACGCGAATCACTGGTCGCTGCCCAACCCTTATAATTTTATTTATTAATTTTTTAACTTAAAAAAGTTAACGAGAAATGTATACGATCATTATTAACCCAAACACGGTTTTAAACGTTTTCATCTAGCTCGTTCTCTACGATAGATTATGCAGTTATAGTAAGACAAACACATCTTTAATCTTTTAATAACAATTATAATAAATTAAGATATAATGTAGTTAAATGAAGAATTATTGTTAGTAATACTTATCAAGTAGTGTACATTAATTACTAAAAGTTAATTTGAAAGGTGATATTCGAGTTAGAAGAATTGAAATTATGATAAATCATAAACATCATATGATCTACAACTTACACACTTTAGGGAATATTGAGTAGATAACTAGTTTGAATTAATTTTTAAGTTATGTAGCATCATCAACAACGGTGTTTCTGACCATAATCCCAACCGAAAGAGGTTATGGTTTTTTGGACTTTCAAGAACACAATTCGTAAACCTAGTTTTGTATGACTAAGAAAGGCATCATCTCCTACCTTTTATTCAGGAAGTTTTCTATTTTCCCATTTTACATTGTTGCTTGAGGGTGTCAACGAAAAAATGTTATCGGTAACTACAAACGCTAGAAAACACCCACGGGTTCTAACTGCACGTTGGAAGGTGTTCGAGATTACAGTTTTAACAGAACACACTACGCTCAATGAACGTCTGTGACAATCTGGATGTCTCGTGCCAGTTACTCGCGACTGGGTCGAACTCCTCACGTTGTTTTACCCGTGATTCCTTGCGGGAAACGTCGATGAAATAAATCAATTGAATCTACAAAATGTCATCAGTCATAAGCGAAAGTCATCAGCGGCAGCCCAACTTTACCACAGCAATCAACTCATAATGAATGTGTGTATATAAATATGAATTGAACCTATTGAGAACTGACGTGCGAAAAACAGGCTTGCTTCTGGCATGTGAACAATATGTTTAGAATACATTTTTAGCCCGCTTCTAGTATCATTAATTATACATAATAAAATATTACGACAGCAAATAGCTCGTGTATAAAAAGAAGAAAAAAAAGTCTTAATTCACCTTCTTTAATGGAAATTCGAGATCTCTCTCTTCACACGATCTTACCGTTATTCTAAGTTTGTGTATGTGTGTGTACTAAAAGTAAATGTTATACCATCAAACAAGAGGTTTTTATATAAAAAAAACTATTTGTTAATAGAGCCTCGACCATCAACTTCATTATGCCTTAAAACATCTTTTGTAATTTTCAACATTTCATCAAATGATTTTGGTTCTACCAGAGAACATGCTTTGTCATTTGTTTGTTTGTAATTAAGCACAAAGCTACACAATGGGCTATCTGGGCTCTGCCTACAACGGGTATCGAAACCCAGATTCTAGCGTTTTAAGTTCGCAGACATACCGCTGTGCCACTGGGGGGGGGGCTTTGTCCATTTTAACTTCTTATCAAATGACTTGGTTCTACTAGAAAACATTCTGTCATTCTCAACTTCTGATTAAATGACTTGGTTCTACTAGAAAACATTCTGTCATTTTCAACTTCTTATCAAATGACTTGGTTCTACTAGAAAACATCCTGTCATTTTCCACTTCTGATTAAATGACTTGGTTCTACTAGAAAACATTCTGTCATTAACAACTTCTTATCGAACATCAATAAATTATGAAATATTGCCAAATATATTTTGATAACCACAGGCTCAACAGAAGCCCACAGTTTATTTTTGTTCATATAAACAATGATTAAGACAATTTTTGAATTTGATATGTATATCACTGTTATGATGATACAATTGTTCTTATGATACAAACTTTATCATTTTTCGTACTTGTATTTTGTGTTTTATGGCAAAGGCTAATAATGCTATCTACCGCAGTTCCTAATTTTGAACTACTGACCAGTGTGAATGAAGCTAGTCAGCAACACCCTAAAACTTACCATTCACGCTAAGGGATTTACTTTTACTTTTATAAGCACACACATTTTTTTATGCTTTTTTTTTGTAATGGGTTCACCAACTCCGAAATCCAGAGCTCTACTAGTATAGGGCTAACTCGCGCCCTACTTGTTATCATTTATTGTTACTAAAGGTAATGTCCTCCCATTAGTTTAGTGATAAGTCCGTAGGTTTATAATGCTAAAAAACCCAGTTGAGATACCCCTGGTGGACACAACACAGATATCCTATTACATAGTTTTGTGCTTAACAATAAAACTATAAGTAATTCAGAAATGAGTTAAGTTAACACAGTCACTCAAGTTTAAACTAACCTTGGAATATTGACAAAAATAACTTATGGTTCAAAACTTGTCATTATAATATTCAACACATCTCTGAAGAATAATAGAAATACTCATGTAATGAATCTACAAGCTTTAGTTTGACGACTTTCAGACCAGAGGATAAAAAAAAAATAATCTTCCCGATAGAAACCTTGTCTGTTCCATAAAACGATAAATATCAACCAAGATGGCCAAGAGTATCTGCATGTCGCTTATCCATAGTTACCAGTTTTTATGACACAGACGTCAGTGTCTACTATTCTTCAGTATTTCAACTAAACTATGTCCGCCATATCCTTTGCTGACGACGTGTTCTTCTTCTTGAAAAAGAAAAACACCTGAAGGGATTGGATAAAGAATGTGATGTTGAAAATATAATAGGCCTAATATTAATATGTTATGACAAGAATGATTTTATTAGATTCACGCCGACGATTATAATGATTTGATGTTCCAAATTGGAGACGAGCGATTTGCGTATAATTCAGACAGTTTGATAGATCAGGTCAAGGGTTGGTTTTTCGTTGCATGAATATGGTCTGCAGCTTTACATTTAATTGTGTCCTGAAACTGTAAATCTCTCTCGCCCTTTTTAAACAATTATTGAAAATAAATATCACAAATGCATTTTTTCTCGACTTGGTTCTACTAGAAAACATTCTGTCATTTTCAACTTCTTATCAAATGACGTGGTTCTACTAGAAAACATTCTGTCATTTTCAACTTCTAATTAAATGACTTGGTTCTACTAGAAAACATTCTGTCATTTTCAACTTCTAATTAAATGACTTGGTTCTACTAGAAAACATCCTGACGACTTTCAGATCATTGTTTTAGAATTTTAAGTTAAAATTGGTTTACAATTGCTAATAATTAACAAGTTAATGTTATATTGTAAAAAAAATCGCACGGGTAGAACATAAAACAAGTGAGAGAAGGTTTTATAATTATAACCAGGTGAAAATAAATAGGCAGTAGATATTATTTCCATATTATGGTATATAGTTATGTGGTAGATTCTGAGCACGTGGTTTTAGTTGGATGTACATTTTAAGCTAAGTTCAATAGTACACTAACATTATCAACCACGATGGCCAAGAGAAAACTGTGAATAGTTAAATAGCTTAGAAAATCTTTTCGGGGAAGGAGGATTAAACGAACCCGAAAAAACGTAACAAACAAAACTAATTTGTTTGCCAAAAGCGGAATTTTGTCCAACAAAAACAAACGTGTGTTACCAAAAAACTATTACAAATATTTTTACTATGAATCAGGGCAAGTGAAAGTCTCAGTAGATTCGAGCTGGAACATGAATTGATCAGTGCATAATGACATAAAATTTAAAATAGCTCCAACAGGAAAAAACTGCTGCAATAATCTGTCTTTGTTACCACATGACAAAGGTCAAAATTGCAATGATCAGAAATGTTCAGCTAGAACAATGGTTTTTATACACGAATATTTATACTAATCAAATATTGAGGTAACTGACAAAATTAGTGAGATTAATTTGGTTGTTTTTAAGTGCATAGCTACATAGAATTGGTTATATGTACTCCGGCCACCACAGGTATCGAAACCCGATTTTTAACGATGTAAGCTCGCAGATTTACCGCTGATCTACTCGATGGCTAATAGGTCTTAACGTATGAAAACTAGTGCTAACTTAATGCGAAACTCAATACAATAATAATTACATTTATAAACAGATGACGTTTTACATAAATCTTATACAACAAACAATGAAATGGTGAAAAACACTTGAAAAGAAGAAATTTTTTTTTTGAATAACAATAGACTAAAGTGAAACTAATTAATTTAAAAACGAATAAAGTAGTAATAGGTGTATTTTTCAGCAGAGTGCACAATACGTTATTTAAACACAACTAGATAAGAAAGAGAAAAGTGAATATTGTCAGATTGTATACACCAGATGGCAGCACCTCGAATTTGAAATGTTCGCACGAGTTTATTTGTTCAAACTATATATATACCTTATCTAATGGTTACAAACTCAAAACTTAGACAAGAAATAGTTATTATTATACGGACGGACAATATATATCATATACACACCTCTCTTCCTTGTTCAAAAATGCTAAAAGCTTAACTATTATCGTCATAGTTGTTCTAAGGAAAGCCGTGAAGCATTTAACGAATAGGAACCCAGGATAATTTAAGAAAATTAACCTAACATACGACGTAATAGTTCAAGCATGTACAGCAGCCTTTGAAACTGTATTATACAGTAAGGATGATGGGGTCCGAGCTCATATCGATAATCTAGTCACGATCTGCCGGTAAAGTACACAATCAGTTTGAAAGATTTCTGCTTGATTTTTCCGGGTAGTTAAGCAGCCTCTTAGGTACGGTCGGCAGTGGATTGGCAGTCTGCCACTAGCATTCTTTCCATTCGTACTCGGCGAATAAAAAGGCACTGATTGTGTTCATCACTGTCACCCCGAGGCTATACAATTTCTTACTACTTCGTACATTAGGTAAACAGCTAGTCAACGGGGACATATGTGTCTGACTTATCCTGGTAGACAGACATCTTACTTAAGACTTGATGGTTGGTCTGCTGAAAAGCTGACAGATGGAAAGGCGTAAAATGGCGTGCAACAACAACATTTGATAGACTCAAACAGGTAACTTACATATAGAATGTCAACAATTGTTACAAGTGAGCTTTTACAAATTCCGAGTTCGTTTTTTTATACTTTAATTCTGTAAAGAAATTTCCTATACATGATGATCCTCTCAAACTGAAAATCGTTCCACAGGTGCATTATCATGAACCGCGGTAGTGGTTTATAATAGGTATCGCCCCTTTTGTTCTTATTTAATATTATTCCACTAGCCTTCAGCAAAAATGGCTGCACGTATTGTAATAAAATCTGGACAGTATTACTAAATGCATCATTACGCATTGTATAGGGGTATTTTTTAAGTATATTTGATTACCTGGCAAATAACAGCGGCTGTGTAACTGTTCACACTCAATCGTTTTAATGTAGTCTATGGTTTATATGGAGCCTCATAATTTATACATGCATACGTATATAGCTGCATACATTTAATGTTTATGTGGCAAGCAAGACACATGTACCATAGCGGTACCACATGTACCAGGACTGAAAATTTAAACTTCATAAAAGTTGTTTTGATTTTAAGAACACATTTTTCATAATTCAACTACGCAGATTTCGAAAATAATATTCTTTTTTTTTTCTATCACTTAAGGATTTTTTACAAATCGGGAAGAAAAAACTCTTAGATGAAATTATTATTTCATTTACCATAATGAACATTTTATATTATTATG